AGTCAACAATTCCGGGGTCCTTTAAGGAGCGGTGCTGCCCCCATACTTATTTGCCACTTATGTTTGTGATATTCCGTGTTTCTCCCGCAAGAATTTCGAGATATGCAGATGACGTCACGTTGTGCCAACCCATTTCTTCTTACTCTGATCTAAGCCCTTTCACCGACAATCTTGAGCAAATTCAGTCATTCTCCTCCTCATCGGGGCTAACCCTAAACCCCAGTAAATGTGTTGAGTGTTTATATAGTTTTGCTCGCTCCCCATATCCGACAGATCCCACAGTGATTAGCAACAATCCTTTACCCAGGGTGAACTCTGTTAAGTATCTTGGTGTAACCATAGATAGCAATCTTCATTGGTCAACCCATATCCACAACTGCATCGGTAAACTGCGATGCCTATCATTTCAAACAGCTCAGGCAGTTTCGCGCATCCCAGACAGTTATTTCTACTTTTGTTTATCAATGTATTTTCCCTATTTTACTTTACTGTTCCCCGGTTATTTTTCCCGATTTACTCAGACAGGATTTCAAAGTATTACGTCACGGTTTAACCATTATTAGTAGTGTCTCTTCTATTTCTGTGAATGAATTAGCTGTGAAGCTTTCAGAGTACCACGTAGCTTCCTGTGTGAAATTTGCTAAGAGGATTCTCACAGATCCTGACCACCCATTACATGCAGAACTGACACTTTGTCATTCCCATCATTCAACACGCTCCCGATTACGACAAATTTCATCTCGAATTAATGCATACCGCAATTTACCCATACCGTATCTCGCTCGTCTACTCACAAACAAAGAGCGGAAAATAAGTGAACTTTGTCTTAACTTTGGATTATAAAATGTCCCCGTACCTGTAAAACCTTTTCTCCCCGTTGATTATGTTCATTGTGACGGTTAGCGTGTATGACTTTTTAACTGAAATGTGAGCTCCAGTGTTTGCAAAAGTTATACACAATACAATGCGCAAAAACTTGCATGTCTACTACTACTACTATGTGCACAAATGCGGAAATTCATTTCCGCGGAAAACGGAAGCAGATGTCTATATGCTAACGAGGAGAAACAGTGAAGCGAACTATCCAGGGCTAAAATACATGAATGAGATGAGGATAGTAGAGCATGCGGACAGCGGAGCATATCGACCAAGCCATGGTGCAGGTCGTATAAACACAGCCAGTTCCCAGATCAACAACACCAACATGTCTTCTCAAAAGTATTACCAACAGATACATTTTTAGTCGAATAGCATAATTCTACTAGACTGGATCACAAATCTGTTCTACGTCCGTCAATTTCAGGCATACATCTATTCAAAAACAGGAATTCTCGGTGACAGTTTACATACCGGAAAAAGTTGAAGCCACTCGATTTGCACTTTCTGCCGCGTTGACTGCAATCCAACCTTTCGGGGGTGGATGAGCGAATTCGGTCGCGCCAAAATTCAATCGGATTTCCGCATTTTTGAGACACACACAGGGGAACAATCCGGAGGATCGCATCGGACCAGGCACATCATAGGCTTTGCCAAATATTTTGCCTACAAAGCAAAGGAAAATCCATGTCTATGTATAAACATGATTTTTGGGAAGCTGGTGAGGCTTTACCGAACGACAGGAGACGCTCTTCTTTAGTTTCGATTAATGAAATTTGTGAACCGGAGAAACTAACCATTTTTTGACCAAAATATGGTGCTGTTGTCTAAATCCAAAAAACAGCCGACAATATCGCCTTTCCCAAACGATTCTCCGTATGAATCAAACTGTTTCCGGTGGGACATCTTGCCGGTTCCACCGAACCCGAAGCTCTCCGCATCCGTACCCACATCGTGTGATGCACGCAGTGTGGACCAGCCGACACGACACAGTCCTTCATCCGTGACCGCTGCCTCGTAGTAGTAACGCCCTGTGTGTGTGTGAATGGGTAAAACGATGGGAGAGAGACGGAAGGAGAACAATGCTCAAATATCAAGGCATATCGTATTAGGTCTTGCAAATGACTATAATTAAGAAATCGGGATGGATATTACTAAGGGCGAACTAATAAACCGAACTGGTTTGCATGTTCACAACTTACTTTATTTTACTGCGACTGACTCCGTGGAAGGGATAAGCTGGCTCCAGACTTGATCATGAGCATAAAGTTCTTTAGGAGTTTGGTGTTAGAGACGTCCCCAGCGTCACTCGGCGTTTTCTATTTTGAGGGCGCACCTCTGGCATTTGCGAAATTCCAGGCAGCAGGAAGTAATCCCTCGCCTCGGAAGCGAGGGGATCAATGACTAGTTTTAAAAGGCCAATTACATCGACCTTTGTCAAGACACCGTCATTGGACTTATGCGGCTTCTAAACAGGAGCCAGGTGACCAGCCTGAAACCCACCACACCCTAGTAGTGCCACCGCTGTTTGTTTGCGACTGCTTATTTGTTGCGGTATGCCACAACTTATTCACAGCTAACCTTCTTCGGTGAAGATATCCTCCTATCCACAACCCGGGGACGCGCCTGGAAGCATTCACCTCCGCTTTACCCGAGGGCATATGTTCACAACCACCAATACGAACCGTTAGTTTTGGTTCACTGGTGATGTTTCAATGATAGACTACTGTCTCTCACTCGGCAAAAGCAGCGCTGTATGCTACCGAGCGCGTCCCCAG